CTTAAAATTGCTCTTTCGAATAAATATTAATTTCGAAAGAAATTCATTTTAAATTCATAAATGAAAACGACTCATTCAGTAAGTAAAAGTTCAACTCTATCATTGTATTTTAGTGAGCAGAACCCACATTTTAATTTTTTTGCAAATTTAAGAGTTAACATTCGATAATTAGTTTGAAAAATATTATTCGTAAACATTGTACATTTTCTACTCATTATTGCAATTTCGAGTTTATATATATCTTATGGGATATCCCTAAAATGACTGATGTATTTAGAAAAATCAATAAAAAAGGGGAGTTTCGTGTTTTCTGAGTTAAGTGCAAAATTATGTCACTAGAATGTTAAAGATTATCCTAGTAACGATATAAATTGACTGCTCAACGCTGGTGACAAAATAAAATAAAATAAAAAAATAACAGATCAATAAAATTACATAAGTAAAGATTTTTTTTCCAAGACTGCAGCTGGAATTTTTTATCACATAAATTAAGAACATAATTATAATAAATAAACATAAGTATAACATAAATTAAAACCCTAGTTTTTTATGTATTCAAAGACAAAACACTTTATGTATAAGTTTCAAGGTAAAATATAGAAATATTGCTGATATATGAATTGTAATATTTTTATTACGCATATATAAATTAAAATTACAGATATATTACAATTGTTTGAAAATAATTTATTAAAAAAACATTTAGTCACAGATACAATTAAAAAAATGTTACTTGAAAGGATTCTTAGGAATAAAAGGAAAGAAAACAACAAATTTTATCAAGCATAGTACAACTATAAGTGTTGTGATGTTTTGCCGTCGTTGTAACATAACTAAAAATTAACGAATTTGAACTTAGATCTTAATAAATCTGCATAAAAAAGTTTGATGTTAAAATTTTAAGCCAAACTTGATACTTTTTCCTTGCTAAATTTAAAAATTCCCATATCTTAGATTCTATTTTCATCGAAAAGTCTCAATGTAAATTCACTCTTCCAATGAACTAGTTAATACTGATAACTGTTGTTTGGTTTAAAGATAAGACTTCAAGAATAAGAAATAAAATACTGGTGTAAAGAAAACATAGCTAAAACATGTTTCCTGCATTTACCATATCAATCTTGAATAAAGGTGTGTATGATTATTATTATATCTTGAATCATATCTTCATGTTATCAGTCAATTTATGGAAAAAGGTAAAACGATTGTTTACTTCTAAATTGAGTCAGTGTGTTAAATAACATTGAATAAGGATTGCAGTATTCGTGAATTCATTGAGTAACTAAAGATTAGCTTTTAAACACGGATTTTATTAAACTCTTATAAACGTTTTGACGTGCATTTTGAATATAAAGGATTACATTTTTATTTGGTGAGTGAAATATTTATTTAATGTTATTAAAATATTCAAATTTATCATAGAAAAAATAATTTATATTTTAAAAACATTTTTTTACTGGATACTTAGCCAAATTCCATCAACGAGTTATTACCCAGCAAACGATTTTTTACCAAATCTAAATCAAACGAAAATGTAGTCTTCGATTTAAAAAAAAGTGTAATAACTTCAAGCTGTTTTTATGTAAAGAATATGCAAATATTGCATCTAAATATATTATTATAGATACACGATACAAAATTTAATATAACGCACACAAAATAAAGCAACAAACATCACATGAAGGAACAACGTTCTCTGGAGAGGAAGTTCCACGATTAATGAAATGGAACTTTCCGTTTGTCAGGGAACTTACCCTCCTTAGAAAGTTGTTCCTATGCAATGATGCGAGCTTTGTTGCGTTATTTTGTGTTGTGCCTCAATTAAAAAGTATTGTAATACATTTGAAAATGCGAAATTTGTAGATTTTTTTCCTAAGAAAAACAATTTAAAGCAATTATAGTAGTGTTTCATGGGGTCCAGAAATAAAGTAATACGTTAATTTAATTATTAAATAATCGGTCTTGTAATTTAGTACGATTGTAAAAATATTTTTTCTTGTTTGCTCACATTTTTAGACGTTGGAAGTTTTGTGACATTTAACATTGAGTCCCGAGTTTCTACGAATAAGAATTTTAAGCGCGGTATTAGTACCGATGTTAAAAATTCTGGTTAATTAATCTATAATAATCTCCAAACCTTAAACTGATCATTCATATGCATACTCAAAGCAAGAATTTTTCTCTCGTCTCTAAGACATAAATGATATCACAAAAACTAAAAGAAGTTCATTGGATTTGGATCAAAAGCTACTACCTATAAATACTCTCCAAAGCAGCAACAATAGATCATATACGTCATGCGTAGAGGAAACACTGTGTTCAGTTAAAAGCATTCCAGAAATGCGAAGCTTTTCATCTTCTCACCAGGTGACACTGATTTAGTTCCATTTTATGATGCCCCGTTGAAATTTTGATTAAGCGCATCCTTTGAATCCGCAGTGTGCTTGACAATTCTTCTTATACATGTCACTGTGCTAACATTCATTTATTTCTGTAACGCATTTCTTTGATCTTTTTAAATATAGCACTGTGGCAAATATAGCGTTGGTGTCTGGGTTTAGAAAAGAAGTGCCAACTCTTCGCTATTCAATCGGCAGTTAATTTATGATTGATAGTTGCCTGCTGATAGTTTGTAAAAGAAATTAAGGAACTTTTAAGTGAATTTGAAGAAACAGAATCTTCGTGACAATCTTCCTGTCACTGTGCTAACATTTATTTATTCTTTTTTGTGACGCATTACCTTAGATCATTTTTAATATAGCACGTTCTCAAATGCATATTATCGCAGCTGATAGTTGATTAAGTAGAACGTGCTAAGTGACTTATCGTTAAATATGAAAGAAAAATCATCAAGATAATCTTCCTGTCACTGTGCTAAAATTTATTTATTCTTTTTTGTAGCTCATGTTCTTGGATTTTTTTTAATCTAACAAATTTTCAAATATCATTATTGTATCTGATAATTGATTTAGCATTAGCACGTTAGTTGATTATCACCTTCTATAGAACGTGCAAAGGGACATTGTTTCGATGACTTTTCAATATTATTCTCCGATCTTGGTTTCGGTGACTTTTCTATAATATTCTCCAATCTTGGTTTCGATGACTTTTCTATAATATTCTCCAATCTTGGTTTCGACGACTTTTCTATAATTTTCTCCGATTTTGGTTTCGATGACTTTTCTATAATATTCTCCGATCTTGGTTTCGGGGACTTTTTTATAATATTCTCCGATCTTGGTTTCGATGACTTTTCTATTATATTCTCCGATCTTGTTGCCTCTCATTAATTTTTGTGACGCATTTTCTTAACTTCTTAACGGTAACTGTCAAGTTATGTACTTGATAGTAGCCGGCTAATAGGTAACTTAGTAGAACGTGTTAAGTAACTTTTCAGTAAACTTGAAGGAAAAATCTTCCCCTCGCTTGTTAACTTTTGTCACCCTTATGATAACGTTTACTAATTTATTTCTGCAACTTCTTTCCCTGATCTTTTTAAATACAAATTTTCCCCCGTATTTTTAATTACTATATTTCCCTGATCTTTTTAAATACATCTAGCACATTGGCAAATATATCGTATGTATCTGTGCTTAGAAAAAAAATGCACACTTTTAATTACCAGCCTGGAACTGACAAGTTATGTATATGCAAAGCTGATAACTGCTACACTTTTCAAAAGATATTTTATATTGTGGTGTTCAATTAAAATATAAAGCATTCAGAATAATTTTGCCGACATTTTAAAAGCCGCCCTATGAAATACTTGGAACAAAGTAGATTTCATTTAACCTTTAGAATCATTTCTACTTTGTAGTGGTATGGAAAATGACTTTAAATCAAATTTGCATTAAAAAAAAGAAAATAATACATTAAAACATAAACTTTTCTAAGACTGAAATAAATTTTACAAAAAAGTGTTGGTATTCGGCAGCCCTGTTCTTGAAAGTTGACTTTGTAAAGCATATTAAGTTACTTTCGTGAATTTGAAAAACAAATTGTAATGAAATATATAAATGCATTAAGATAGTATGTAGAAATCTTATTTATTTATTGATTTTACTAATTTGAATTGATTTTGATATTTTATTCATTATTAAAGCAGCTCTTCGTCAAAACGCTTATTTTCCCAAAAACGAAAAAAAAAAAAATCAGAAGCAAAAAATCGGAAATTTTTCTCTAAAGGGAAAGAATTGGGATTAGCATTGCGTATACGGATATAAAGTATAATTTAATAAGAAACGAAATCTCTTTATACGAAATCATCTGAATAAAATGCGATTTTTTTTTTTTGAAGACGTCGATGATTCATCTTTTTTTTTTTTTTTACGAAATTGAATCATTGACATCTCAGTAGAGCATTGAATTGTAATCTATGATAACACAGTCCACTTCAAGCATAATAGTTTTTGTTGTTTTTCTCAAGATTGCATATGAACTCATTTACAAGTAAAAAATGTAGCACATTCATTGCAATTTTTAAAAAAGAGTTAAGATATTTATTTGTTAACTTTTGTTTCTTCCAATTTTATAGTAATCTACGTCACACGTGACGTATTCGGATCTGTTTCGTTTTTATTTTTTTTGTTGCTTCTATTAAGTATGATATAATGAGGGATTACTGTTACATCATTATTTTTCAATGTAATAAGCTTCGTTATAAAACGTATATTTATATTTCTACTTCGCCATAGGCAAGTGTGGTTCAATAATTGATAGTATTTTGTTAAAAGACTATTCTAACTATTATTATTATTGTCTGGCTTTAGTTTTTCAATTATCTTGGTTATGTAATGCACTCCACATGAACTTCTTTTGTCTTCCAGAAAGTGCAATAAAACAAAGTGACTGAATATTATTTTATAAGACTCTAAAGGTTAAGGAACAAATTCTTACAAGCAAAATGTTTCGCACAGATATCGCAGTGGCGAAACTCGTGTACAAAATTAGTGGAGATGAATTTCTTCCTTATGTATGTATTTCTATCTTTTTTCTTTCAGTAAGGCAACCAATGGACCCGTCTTGCGTGGATGCAAGACAAGGGCGCCAGTAGAGGAATGCAGAAAGCTCTGTTACCCACCTCCACGTCCCAGAAGAGCCCCTCTATCAAGAATCACTTGAAGAACTGCATCGACGATGGTTACTGCTCTTCTACAAGTACGCCCAAGTCCTCAGGTCAGCACCAATCTCTTTTCTTTTTACATTACAGAAATGGCTATCATTTTCAATAGCAGTTATTTTGTATCTGTATGCAAGCGTTATTACGCATTATGTTTCGGTTTAAAGTTCTAGAACTTCTGAGAAGGGTAGGGTGCATCTGGACGTCTCGAAATCACGTAGCAATGCAGAGTCGGAGATGCTTGCCTAAAGGGGTAGATGAAGATTGCGCGGGAATTCGAGGAATTTGATATGAGCCTAGATTACTCCAAAATATTCGAATTTCCGTGAGTCGTAAATGACAGGCAGTGCTGGATTACCCATCGGGTCAGACTAGGCCATGGCCTGAGACCCCCAATGATTAAGGGCCCCTTTAAAGTGAATTTTTTGAAAATGATTTTCAAAAAATTAAGAAAAAGCAATGATATAGTAGCGTTGATTTTGTAAAGTTTTAATAAATTTCAATTTTTTTTCAAAATGTTACGATTATTTTTTAGTTCTAATTTAACAAAAGAAAGTAAAATTCAATTTATTATTATTTATTTTAATTTTAAATATGCTTTCTTAAATGAAATATATATAAATACTTTTATATTTGAATAAATAAAAAAATATACGAGGAAAAAAATTTAATCTAAGGGCCCCAAAAATTTGAATGGCCTAGGGCCCCGTGTACCCTTAATCTGGCACTGATGACAGGTCTGTATTACAGTCAATAAAAAAAAGATTCGAACTTTTTCTTTTATCTATGTTCCTTTAGTTTTTGCACATTCATTAATGAAACAAATGTTCACTTACTGTCTTTTCCTTTATGATACTTCTGCAAACATCACCGTTTAAAGAAAGCATTACCGACCCTGCATTGCTGCCTGATTTCGAGTCTTTAGCATACACCTTACCTCTCTTAGAAATTCTGAAACATTTAGCTGAAACATCTTGTATATACAGTTAATCTTGTATATCATGAAAATAAAGGGCTACATTCAAACAGGGCCAGATTAAGGAGAGGTGTCTACTAACTCAAATGGAAGATTTTTTTAACAATTAACAATTTTAACAATTAACAATTTTAACAATTAATAATTTTAACAATTAACAATTTTAACAATTAACAATTTTAACAATTAACAATTTTAAGAATTAACAATTTTAACAATTAACAATTTTAAGAATTAACAATTTTAATGATTAACAATTTTAACAATGAACAATTTTAACAATTAAAAATTTTAATTTTGATAAATAGCTTAAACTTCAATTTTAATTGAATTTTTTTTAAAAATTTTTTAACTTTTTAAAAAGAGATCATTTTTAAATTTGTAAAAACCAAGAAGAGACAATTTAATAAAAAATAAATTTCTTTTGAAATACTCATAACTTTAGGGTGTAAAATAAATTGTTATTTTATTGTTAAGTAATGTAGATTGTAAAAAACTATATTATTTATTAAAAATAATATTAAACAATCAAATAAAGAAGAACAAATTGTAATTCAAATTCAGTGACAAATTATAATTCAAATTTAATCTATTAAAAAGAATCAAAGTAATATTTTTTTAAAAACAAGTATTTGTTACAGTAAGCATAATTTAACCTACAAGAACAATTTATCCTATGTGTATGTAATTTTTAACCATGCAATTTTTTTGATGCAGAATAGCTAAAAAAATTTTTAGGCACTCTAATATGTTTAGGAAAATAGGGATAACACAAATATCATTCAAGAATGAATAATTAGAATTAGGTTTTAAAAGTTCTGTGTAAAATAAAAAATAAGGTACATAAAAATGGATTTTCAAAAAAAAAAAAAAAAAAAAAAAAAAAAAAAAAAAAAAAAAAAAAAAAANAAAAAAAAAAAAAAAGTGAAAAAAACTTTTAACTTTCTTATACTATAATTAAGTTTCATTCGTTTTAACTATACTTATAGTACCTACAGCTAAACATATGTATGAATAATTTCTTGTTTCTTCCCGAGTACAGGAAAAAATAAATTTTTCCAGAAAGAAATAGTGAGGAGTGCAAAACATTTTTAGTAAAGTGTTAAATTCTCCAGTTCTTCTTTTCACTAAAATTAAAAGTTTAGAATAAAAATAAATAAAAGCTTGTTATTGTTGTGGGGTATATGCAGTTTTATTTCATTGTTGTTTATCTTATTCAGTTTCTAGGACACGAGCTCAACTGAGTCGTAGTCAAAACAATCGAATGATGCATAAAATAATGCGGACAATACGAACGTTTGCTATAAAAAACTACGCACGTGTTATCCAAGCTATAAAAAAAACTACACCAAACTGCTCTTTAAAATGAATTTAAGAAATCGTGTTTGCTAAATTTAAAATTCTAGTTTATGTTCGTTGAATGATTTCTTTTTAACGACTAAGGACGATCAGCATTATGGAATTTTTGAAATATCATTTTTTTTTTTATATTTCTATCAAACATAAAAAAGACAATAGTCTAAAACCATTTCTCATTGTTGCCGTCGCAGTTTTATTTGTTATGAAAATCACATGGTATGGTTTCTTAACCCTTTCGGTATTAATGACTGTATACGTCACAGAGATTGGATTTCACTTTCTATTGTGGCATTCTCGGTTCCCAATTTTTTCTGTCCCAATTGGGAACCCTAGAGCAGCGGTTCCCAATTTTTCGGCTATGCAACCCTAAATAATTAACCTTTTTTCAGCGGAACCCCTATTTTTTATACTAAGTACGAAAATTTGCGGATTAATTTTTAAATTTTATAGATTATTTAATTTTATAGATAATTGGTTAATTGTGAACGCATTAGCCAATATACGACTATACTTTATTATGAATATTATTTACTACTTTATTATTTTAATAATAAGAGGCAACTGTGGTAGTTCAGAGAAATAGAGAGTTCGCCATTCAATGAAGTAACCTAGGTGTGAATCCCAGTGTTGGCTGGTTGATACGAATTCTGCTCTCGGTTTGCACTGACCGTATTGCTGGAGTAAAATATTTTTTTTATTTCCAATGAGCGGCACAATCAGTCTTCCCGATAGGCAGACCTAGTGCGTTCTCCAGAAGTGGTATCTACTCTTTCAGGACCACCACAATGGGTGAGATACCGTTGGCCATGTTAATTTGGACGTCTAGTTTCTGCCACACTAGATGGCAGCAGCACCGAGACTCTATTTGGATGCTAAAGTGCACTAGGAATTTAATTTTGCCGGAAATGCCAAGAGCCAATAAGGCATTGCAGGGATCTGTAACATGCCGCTCATACGACATGGCAGCTGAGGATTTTCTGCATCCCGAAAATCCGGTGTCTGAGCCGGGGATCGAACCCGCAGACTTGGGCTCAGAAGGCCGACGACAAACCAACTGCGCCACCCAACCACCTGGAGTAAAATATACTATCAGTGATATACGGATCATTGGTTGTTGAATTAACCGTAGGAGATTTTCGTAGTTTTTCCCTCCATGTAACGCAAATGCGGATTAGTTCCATTAAAGAGTCCTTTTTTATTTTTATCTCCTTATCCTAATGAAGGATTTACCTTGTCTTCTGTGTTAGGTTCAAAAGTGCACGACTATGCAGTTTAGCATTGATAGTCGTTAACTCAGAACTGGGTCAGCTGCTCAACACCGGTTGTAAAATATAAGAGGAAATAATTTTTTTTTATCATTAAATTAGGTTTCATGTCCGACTGTTGATTTCTTAATCCAGGAACCGAATCTAGTCTAGTAATTTATTTTTAGCGTATTTACATAAGCTGAAAATTAATAAAATAAGTTGAATTATGATTTTCATTCATTTGAAAACTATCCAAAAATTGTTTTAAATGCTGAAAATGATTATTTGGGAAACATGCAGTTTCATAAATGAATCTAGTTATTTTAATGTGAAAAAAGCTCTATAGTAAATACTATTGCAATTTGTTTTACAAAGACATGTTCTTTTCATTATTTTTTCAATACGTTATTATTAGAAGAATTTTTTTTCAAAAAAAATTCTTTCTTTCTTCGATTTTGTGATAAACATATTTCAGAGGTATATAGCCTATTTACTCAAAATTATTAAGAAGTAAATAAGTTATACCACATTTAATACAAAATATAGATTATATGGGATAAAATATGTAAAAATTTGTACATTTGAGTATAGTATAAAAATCATTTAATTGGTTAAATTTGCTTTTCAGTTTTGTATTTTTGCCAAATGATTGTTAATAAGACTATAATTTTGAAAACCAAAAAGTTTCGGTAAACTATTACCACTTGAGCAAAAAAGTTACCAAATGAACGGTTTAAGTACCACAAATTTTGGCTTTTAATTTCAGAGTTATGGTTGTTTAATTTTTTTATTAGATAATTTGCGGACTAACTAGAAAATTAGAGAAAGGAAACTATTTTTTGCCTTTTTTTGTCACTCCATTGAATCTGCAGATTAACTAGATATTCTGAAGAATAACTAATTTCTACATTTAGCGGTTACTTGTAAATAATACGACAAGATATATGGCAATGAAGCAATAAAGAAAACGAAGGAAATAAAAATAAAAATATGACCACCGAAGCCGTCCTCTTCAGGGGGTACCGGCCTTGGAAGCCATAAAATAAACTCTTTTCTATTGAGATAGAGGACAAATGCCAAAATTAGCTCTCACAGTACCCCGAAGGTCTTGTAGAAGTCCAGGAAAAAATACAAGAAATACAAAAAACCCAAATCAGACAAGAAATTCAAACAAAATCTTGAGAAAATAAAAAAAAAATTATTGAAATTTTCTTTTCTTTTTCGTGTGAATTTCGATAGTTTTTTATAACCTGCTTTGTCGTTTGAAATAACAGATTCTCTCAGTTAGTGGACTTTTTTTTTTTTTTTTAAAAGCAAAAAAAAACCTTTTGAGCAAAAAAAAAAAATTGTATTAACTTTTTTTAAATGATAAGTATACATATCTGCCATTATCAATAATAAGCTTAATAATCATAAATGATAAATAACGACCATCTACTTAACCTTGAAAAATAAATCAGCTTAGCAACACTAT